AGTGTTCCATAAACTTTTTATTATTATTTTTTTTTATATATATTTTTGGTAATCTTTCAGTTAAGCAGCATAAAATAATTTTATTTTTTGCTCTTTTTGCACCCACATCAGTGGAGGTTTTTTAAACATTAGAAATATTAATTGAATTATTAAAATAAAAAAGATTACTGCTCCATGCCAAACCCTCAGTTGATGTAGCAGCACTCCCTTGTAGCAGCAGGCTATAAGATAGTCGATGTATATACTGAAGCCAATAATTTTTTTTTGCTTATATTAAAAAGTCACCACTTTGAGCAAGTCTCCACGCGAGATGGCAAAAATCGCAAAAAATAAAATTATTTTACGCCGCTTAACTGAAAGGTTACCATTTTTTTAATCTACCATTTTTAAAAGATTTTTCTTATGTTTCTCTGAATTTTGTTACCTGGAAAAAACAATATGAGGATATACTTGATTGGTACTTGGCATAATTAGCATCGCCAAGTTTTATAATCATATGAGAGCATTTAGATTTAAACAATTTTGTAATACAATTTATATTATGTTTGTAATCAGAATTTTCATTTGATGTTTATTTGTTTACATTTTTTAATTTTCATAGCTCTTTGTGTAAATCCTATTCATTCTTATTAACATAATTAAGAACATCAAGTCTATTTCTTAATAGAAATAGACTTAATGAAATGAAAACAATGCCGTTGTGACAAAGTTTCACCTTTTCATAGAAAAAGGTGAAACTTTGTCACAACAGCATTATTTATTGCACAAGTGGAACAAGCTTGTGGTGTTGTTACAAACAAGATATTATGAACTGTACTAATATATACAATTAATCAAAATATTTGCCATCTGTATTTAGAGATGAATTAAAACATCTATTTAGCAAGCTATCATAATCAGAACTTCTCCAACATTATTTGAAAGGCATGACACAGAATCAAAATGAAGTTTGAATTCATTTCTTTAGAGCATATGTCCAAAATGTATATTTTGTGAAAGAATAAAACTGTCTGTTAGTGCTACCTTAGTTTTTTAATGAAATTCAGGATTAAGTAGTATTCTTACATTGATGGTGGTTAATAAAGTTTGAAGCAAATATAAATGCAGGTTTTAGAAGAAAAATTTTTCTTCACTTAAAAAAGTCTGTTTTAAAATCCAGAAATAGTTCATTTAATTGTCACCAGCAGTTGACAACAAAATTGGAAAAAAAAGATCGGTACAAAGATTTCATATTCTTCAGGTGGATTCAGCATTTATCCAAAGCCAGATGATGCCATTATATATGGTGCCATTATAAAAATTAAAAGTTTGAAATTATAAGGAAGTTTCAATTATGTTTGTAGATGCTTTAAATCTGAATGAAATTTGTTGGATGGCAAATTTCACAAACTTACTTGTTGTATTAAAAAATGTTTGTTGTTGTTCAAAATTTCAAATAAATGTTTGTATATGTAACTTTTATACGCTCTGAACGATTTTTATAAAGTATAAAATTAATATTTAAGGTTTGGGAGCTGATTTTCTCTGTTTTTGATTTTTATCTTAAAGAAATGATGCCTTGATTTAGTTTCAGAACATGTTAAAACTTTACCAAAATGTTTTAAGGACCGATTAGATTGATTTGAGTGAAGCATTTAAAATTTCCTTGACTTATGGGTCCCATAACCATGAAGCAGTTTTTTAAATGTTACCATGGAAACTGTTGTTATGAGAAAAATCTCTCTTTCAAATTAATATTTTTTTATCTGGATGTCATTCTTGTTCAAAGTGATTTTGAAATTTTTAATTTTTTATTGAGATAACTTTTCTTAAGATTTTTTTATTGTTTTGGTTTCCATTACAACAGTGCCCCAAATACCCCACATTTTTTGATAATTTTTATTCAAATTATTCAGCAAAGATTTTTTCTTATACATTTCTGATACATAATTAGAGTTCCTTAAAAAGACTTTAAACTGTTTAACGTTAATTTTAGCAAAACAATTGCTTTTTTAATTTTTGGTTAACGCCCACTTTAATCAAAAGATGGGCAGTTTAAAAAACCATCAAACAAAAGGCAAACAGTCTGGTTAAAGACCCAGAGGTTAATTGCTTTGCCATTTGTTAAAAAAGAGTAGTCAAATTTTAGGTAAAATTCACAAAAGAAATAGTCAAACTGCGTACATACTCCCTGTACAAACTCTCCCTTTCCCTCTAGTACAAACTTGTATGCTCTTGGCTGACCTCCATACCTGTGTACATACTTTATAGAAACCCCCTTGCATAGGTTTTGATAATTTTCAGCGCTATAATGTCAGTCTTTCAAATAAGTTGCTTGCACTCCTCTTTGGTTGACGACACATAAAATATTTTGTTTTTGACAACTGGCAGCAGTAATATGCATGTCTTGATAGTCTAAATAATAGTCTAAAAAGAAACAGTATACCAATCAAAAAACAATAAACAGATATATTTCACTTAGCTCCATAGGTAGAAACAGTTTCTGTAAATTTGTAAAAATAAATATTTTACTAATAAATCTGAAGAGTTTAAGTTTACAAAGGTGCTCAGTATTTAGAATAAACTTTTTAATTTTGTAATCATTATAGTGTTGAAAGTTTAGAGGTCATATTCAATGGATAATAGATCTTTTTCTTAAGTAAATTCTTACTAAATCAAAGTTAGTGTTAAAATATATGTAAATAAAAGATTTTTGTATAATTATGAAGTAACTAGCTATATTTATTTATTATATTGCTTTTACTTGCGGACTTGCTGTTATTAATATTGAAATTTTGAATAGTGAAGGTCTGCCCTATGAGCTTGGTCTCTCATTTACAATAAAATCAATAAAATCATTGGTTAAGAAAAATAAGTAGAGTTGAGAAGGAATGGATATTTTTTATAATGATAAAAAATTGCTTATAAAGATTTCTGTTTAATAATTGTTATAAAAGTTTTGTTGATTATTGTTCAATAAGTAGTATAAACCTTCATTATTTTTTTTATTATTAAAGTTAACTTTTAAAATGTTCTGTTTTAAGTGTTGAAAATCTTGTAAATAACTCTATTAATATTTAGGATTGTTTGGTAGAATCTCTAAAAAGATTGATTTATGTTTTGCGTACAAGTCTATTAAAGGTGTTAAATATTCTTAATTTTAAACATGAATCATAAGAAAACAACACACAAATTTACTTTATTCAGTTGTTATAATTTTAAGTCGTTTCTCCTTTTTTTAATTATGAAAAAAAAAAAAAGTATTTATAGTGGTTGTAATAAACTTTCTTAACTACCATAGTTTAATAGAGGCTACTAAATAATTTTTATAGTTTATAAAACTATATTTAATAAAAATAATAGTAATAGAAGTAATAGTCTTAATAATAATAAAAATCAAAATCAATTATTTTTGTTGTCTTACACTATATTATAATAACTATTCAATATTACTTCACTTTATCTAAATAACAAATGACTAATATACATTTGATTTTTTATTCTGTTCTTTTAATGTAGGTTTGTGAAAAAAAAATTTGTGGAGACGATGTATTTTCTTTTTCTGTTGATTTGTGACATAAATATTTGAATCTAGTTTGTATTAAGAAAACTCAGCTGCGACTGCTTGGAATACAAATGCATGTTCTGCATCTAGACTAAAAGAAACTATATCTTTTACTCCAGACAAATTAGTTATATACACAGACAATTCAACTTAATTTATATTTTATTTAAAGTTTATACATATTGAAAAAGAAAAAAATGTAATGTAAAAATTTTAAGTAAAATTAAATATTTTTAAGGTTTCCATTCTTTGCATAATATACACAAGCTTGAGGATTTTTACATAATATATAATTTTAATAGTAATAATTTTTATAGTCAACTTTTAGTTGACTATAAAAATTATTATTATTAAAATTAAAAAAAAAAAAAGGTTTAGCATATCTAAACATAAACAGCTGCAATAGAAACTCACAACATGGGTTTGCTTTGACATGAATCGAATTCTATTATTAATGTTCAAAAAAGTATTTTTGTTGAAAACTTAATAAATGACAATCGGGTATTTGATATACTTTTAAAGCTTGAAGATCATTATACTCCAAGATGTGACTATTTTAAAACTGTTCAATAAGATATTCCACCATATATGCAAAAACTTATCGTCTCTTGGATGTTTGAGGTAAAACATAATAACTGAGGTAAAACATAATTCAATCTATTTTAAAAGTATTTTTTTTCCCCTGTTGAATTTTTTGTTGATAAAATGGTAAAACATAATTCAATCTATTTTAAAAGTATGTTTTTTCCCCTGTTGAATTTTTTGTTGATAAAATGGCTTTGTCTTGTCAGTAGCAGGGTTACTGATGTTGTATATTCCAGTGAAACCTTCTTCGTGTTAACTTAAGGAATGACATCCAGTTATAAAAAATTGATTAAACTTGTCCACAATGACATTGATATGGCATTGTGCGAACCTGGATGTAAATTCTTTTTTTAAATAAAATGTAAATATACTTTTAAGTCAATTTAAGTATTAAAATTTAACAATTAATGTTGTTATAGTTAATATTTCCAAGTTTATTTTAATTTTTGATTCATTCAAATAAAAAATCATCACTCTTTAGTTAACATAGTGGTATAGAAGGTGTTAAATATTCTTAATTTTAAACATGAATCATAAGAAAACATTACAGAAATTTATTTTATTCAATTGTTATAGTTTTAAGACTTTGCTTATTTTTTAATTATTAAAAAAAGAGTACTTACAGTGGTTATAATAGACTTTCTTAACTGCCAGAATTTATTAGAGGCAAAAAAATAATTTAGTTCATTAAATTATATTTATTTAAAAAAATAATTATGAAAGTATTAGTCGTAATAATAATGATTAAAATAACTTATTTTTGTTGTCTTATACTATATATTATAATAACTACTCAATATTAGTTCTTTTTTTCTAATAACAAATGACTTTTCTTTAAAGTTTGATTTTCTATTTTGTTTTTTTAATGTAGGTCTGTGAAGAATAAAGATGTGAAGACAATGTGTTTCCTTATTCTGTTAATTAATAAGGCGGATATTTGAACATCATTAGCATCAAAAAAACTCAGGTGCAACTGCTAGGGACTGTTTCTAGCATGTTTCTAGCATCTAAACTAAAAGAAACTATATCTAGTACTGCATAAAAATTTGTTATATACAATGACAATTCTATCACAGAGGAACTTTTGGTAAGTTGCAAAAAGAAAAAATGTGCGCAAAATGTTTGAATTGTGAGTGTTTGTATTTGTTTTTAAACAGTTAAATAAAGTAGCCATTAATAAAAAAAGACAGGGTTGGCAAAAACCCGGGTTTTTTAAAAAAAAACTACTCCAGTGGGGTTTTTTTTTTTTTTTTTGGTAAATTTGACAGAAAAAAAAAGGTGACAGGATGGCATCCCGCCTCATTTTAAGCACTGGTTAAATCTTTATGTATTGATTTATTTTGAATTTAAAAGTATTATTCTATATAATGTCAATGAAAATAGAGAAAAAGAAGGCTATAGGATGGGAGGTAGTAACTGAAGTTTAAATTAAACTTAGAACTTGAAATTCAAATGAACAAACTTGTTTCTCTGTGCAAGGGCCTTGTTTATAAAGATTTGTGTTTACAAGTTAAAGAGTTGAGAGAGGATTGTAACCATAATCTAGCCACTACTACTCATTTAAATTCACCTAGGGAGGTAAATAACATAAAATATTAAAAAATCCTAATAAAAATATTTGAATAAAAATTGTAATAATGTATTTCCAAATATTGGTTCAAATATTAGTAAACCTGCTCTAATAGCTGTTTTTGTTGGTTATAATAGTTAATAATAATTTAGTTAATGATAGTAGTTAATAATTATGTTAGTTAATAATTTTATAGCTATAAAAGGTGTTAAACAGGGTTGGCAAAAACCCGGGTTTTTTTAAAAAAACCCGACCCAGTGGGTTTTTTTGGGTTTTATTGGGTTTTATTGGGTAAATTTGGGTTTTTTTGGGTTTAATTTTTATTTTGTCTCTGTAAAAATTTTTGTGTGTTTTTGTTTAATGATATTGAAAATTAGTTTTTTTCTACTTTAACTTTATTTAAAATATATTTAATATATTGTTGTTTAATTATTTATAACAAGAATTTTTCAAATTATTTTGAAAAAGATTTTTAAATATAATTTAAAACTGTAATAGAAAAAAAAAATTTCACGCTTAATCTATATGTATTGATTTATTTTAAATTTAAAAGTATTATTCTATATAATTAAAAATGTCAATGAGAAAATGTGAAAAAGAAGACTTGAGAATGGGAGGTAGTAACTGAAGTTTCAATTAAACTTTGAACTTGAAATTCAAATAAACAAACTTGTTCCTCTGCGCAGCGGCCTTGTTTATAAAGATTCGTGTTTAGGAGTTAAAGAGTTTGTTTTTTTTTTAAATCAATTCACCTCCTCAAAGCTTATGACCATATGTCAAAACTACAGGCAAGGAGGCTACTTATTTGTGGTTATAACCCTCTCTCAACTCTATAACTCCGAAACACGAACCTTGACAAACAAGGCCGCTGCGCGGATAAAGGAGTTGAGCGCGGTACTGCCAGGGACGTGGTGGGGATTGAACTCAGAACCTCTCACTTATGAAGTGAGCGCTCTACCACAACACCACTACCGCAAAAGAGTTGAGAGAGGGTTGTAACCACAACAAGGTAGCCTCCTCGACTGTTGTGTTGGCTTCTCTGGTCACTACTACTCATTTAAATTTAACTTGGGAGGTGAACAACATAAAGTAATAAAAATCTCAATCGATAAAAATATTTGAATAAAAATTGTAATAATGTATTTCCAAATAATGATTCAAATAATAGTAAACCTGCTCTGATAGCTGTTATTGTTGGTTATAATAGTTAATAATAATAGTTAATAATAATTAAGTTAATAATAATAGTTAATAATTATTTTAGTAAATAATATTATAGTTATAATGTTAAAGTTGGTTACAATAGTTCATAAACTTATTAAATATCTTTAAAAAAACCCAATAAAACCCAGATTTTCCAGGGTTTTATTGGGTTTTTTTAGGCGGGTTTTTTTGGGTTTTATTGGGCGGATTTTTTAATGCCAACCCTGGTGTTAAAGGTGGTTATAATAGTTCATAAACTTAGTATATATTTTTAAAAAACCCAATAAAACCCAGATTTACCCGGGTTTTATTGGGTTTTTTAGTTGGGTTTTATTGGAAGAGTTTTTTTTGGGCAAGTTTTTTAATGCCAACTCTGGATTGGGATAACAAATGGAACTTCTTGCATGCACAGAAGCATAAACACTTAGCTGCATAAGTAAAAACAATTGATAATTTATAATGCACCTTTCTATATTTATATTTCCTTGATTTTTTGCTCTAGCTGCGAACTATAATACAGGGATTATCTTTTTCCGGATATTTCCGGAATTCCGGATATTTTTCTCAACTTTTAGTTTTTCCATATCCAAAACGTTTTTCCTACATACAAGTTTTGGTGTATATTTTTGTAATATAATTGCTTTTTATGCTTTTTCACTCATCACTCATACAAAAATTAAAAAAAAAATGGAAAAAATTTTGAAACAACTCAGCTAAATTCAAAATTAAAAGGAAAATAAGGGAAAATATCTATTCCGGTTTTTTTCCGGATATTATATCCAAACAATATTCCGGATTTTAGAAATAAGACCTGGATGATCTATGATAATAATCAAAAAATGTGTTTAACTTGGTAATGATTTTGACTAGCTTCGAAAAAAAAAAAATTAAACAAGAAAAAAAAAAAAAAATTAACTAAAAAGACGGATATACTCTTCAACTTTCTTCTTTTAATTACCTGCTTTAACACTGTCGATCTGTTCAAAATATGATAACTATTTACACTAACACTTTTTCTTATATAATCAACCCCTTCTTTCCTCTTAGGCATTTACGGCTAAACATGTTCCAATAGTGACTAGACTACTTTTTTCTAGTTGCAAACCTTATATAAATGATTCAAATGGGAAAAGAGTTAATTTAAAATATCCCATCTCTATCTTTATTTAACAAAGACTGTAATCATTTAAAGTACAAACTGGTTTTTCTGGAAAAACAGAAAAAAAGTTTAGTCTGGGTCTCGATTACAATTGTCCATCATAATTGCATAATAAACAATTGTTTATTACGCAATTGACTTAAGTCAAAAATATAAAAACAGTGGTATGATGATAAAAATAATAAAACTAAATTAAAGTTTATCGTTTTACTTTGGTGTATCCAACAAATCAAGAAAATATTTAATTATAAAATATTCTTTTGTATATAGCTTAGTTAATTTTTTGAAATATTGCTATTCCTTTAATATATCTTAAGAGTTAGTAGAGATGATGCTCAGTATTCAGATAACACTTTTTAGTTTTATAAGTTTTGTAAAGTTAAAAGTTTGCATAGATTTTTTCTTATAAGTAAATTCTTACTAAATCAAAGGTATTGGCATTGAAATATATGTCTATGAAAAATTTTTATTTAATTTTGAACACACACTCAACTAAAACAAAAACGAAGTATTCCACATGTTTACAACGATTAGAAAAATACATATACAACTCAACCAAGCCTGGCGTACCTCATACATTTACATTGATCATAACAGATTTTAATCTCAATTAAAAATAAAAACTTCTTAACACCTATCCTTTAAATTTTTTTTTCGAAATTTTTATTTTTTAATATTTTTTATTTATTTATCTAAGCAATGTTACTATTAAATATAAGTTTTCGGACATAGAAGTAGAACTTATCAGAGAAACATAAAGGTAAGAGATAAAAAAAACTTATTAGAAAAGAAATGTCATTCTTATCTAAGGCTAGTTTAGAAAAACATAATCTTTATATGAAAACAAATGGAGAAATGCCCAAACCCAAACCTGCCATTGTTGCATGTTTTAAAACCTGTAGTAATAGCTATTACAGAATCTCATCTTTAATATCACAAATTTTAAAGTAAAGCCTAGACAACAGCAGTAACTCTTCTGTTTAAGGCAAGATTTACTGTTTAGAAATTTTATACTTATCAGATAAATTACTTAAAGGCAAGAAATAAAATAGTTTTCAGAAAAAAAAATCAAACCCAAACCCTCAATCGCTGCATGTTCTAATACCTGTAGTAACAGTTATTATGGAATGACATCATTAATATTACAGTACACACATTTTCAATTGAAACCAGAATAATTTCTAGAACAATCGCTGATTGTTCTAAAACAAGTTTTAGAACAATCGCTGATTGTTCTAAAACAAGTTTTAGAACAATCGTTGATTGTTCTAAAACTTGTTTTAACAGTCTTTACAGATAGACATTAAAATCATGTGACACAAAATTTACGTTAAAGCTAAGATAAACGCATTAACTGTTCTATTTCATCCATGACTATATACTTTTTAGAAATGTAATATACTTTTTAGAAATGTAAAACTTATCAGATCAATGTCTTATTAACAAGAGAGGAAAAATATTTTGAAAAAGAAATATTAATCTTATTTTAGGCTTGTCTAGGAAAACATAATCTTTAAAGAGAAACAATTGGAGGCCTGCCTAAACCCAAACCTGCTGTTGTTGCATGTTTTAAAACCTGCAATAACAGCCATTACAGGTAGACATCTCTGAAATCACGCTACACAAGATTTAATCTCAAGCCATGATAACCAAAGGTTCTATTTTATTTAACTCAAGATTCATTAATCAGAAATGTTAAACTCATGCAATAAATTATATGTATAGGCAGAAAATGCTATTTTTCTTCTAGGCTAGTTTTGTAAGTGAAATTCTTTAAATAAAAAAAATTAAAGGCCTGCTTTTACCCAAACTCTAAGTCATTGTATGTGCTAAAGCCACTTGTAACAACCATTACAGACTGGCACGGATAGAGTCATGATACACAATTTCTGAATTAAAACCAAGAAAAGAACAAGAACTATTGTATTTAAGACAAGGTTTACAAATTAGAAATGTCAAACTTATCAGATAAACAACTTAAAGGCAAAAAACAAAAAAAACAAAATTCAGAAAAGTAATTCCAATGTTATTCTTGGCTAGACCTAAAACACTTAATCTTTATAGAAAAACCAATAAAGACCTGCTTAAACCCTCAGTCAATACATTTTCTGACACCTGTTGTAACAGTCATTAATCAATAAAATCAGTTATTTTT